CACATAAACTTCTTTGGGATTTTAAAAAGGCTTACGAGTGTGACCAGAAACAGAAGGTTTTCTAGGCTATGGACTTTGCAATGGTACGCCATAAAAACCTCTTTTATCACATTTAAAGAGAATTTCCTCTTCTTACTGGGAGAATTTCGCAACATGCAGAACATGTTGGAGGGGTTCGCAAGAGAATATGTCGTGATTAGAAGCGGCTTTGCGAGAAGGTCAACTACGCGAGCAAGTGGATGTAGAGAATAACATTCGTTGATGTACCCGAAGTTCGAAAACATATGTAGAGTTTCACCTATTTGTATGCCTGTGAATTCTTATCCTACTTTCTCTCTTTTTCTTTTTGTAGTGCCACAATAAAAGCGGAAGCACAACACTCGGAAGCTATCGAAAATACAGCCCTCATTAGCATACATCTGTCAGGATTAAAGGGCCGCGATCTCCTTATGAGGTTGAGAATAAAAATAAACCTTGGATTTCAATATCTATTTAGTACATACATAAATGTTGGGGGAAGCGGATAATTGGGAACCAACCGATTGGAGCCGGCTGCGGGGTCACTACGGCTGTCTACGGCCAGCCTCCTGAATGAACAGCTGATGCATGCCTACTGCATCTCGACACAGTCTGACAATTCTGCGATCAATACAAAGAAGAATTTGCTGAATTGAGCAAAAATATGTAATCTTATTCTTAGTGAGCTTTTGATTTAAACAAAATACGATTTGACGATTTGTCATGGGCCTCTTTATTAGAAGTTGAACAGCGAATCTCAGCAGCGCGCGAAGATGCGGCACGGGAATGAAATTTAACGCTACACCTCCTACTAGTCCGCGTAGACTGAAACTGTGTTGACTCAACAGAAAGCCAAGCTGAAGGTTGGAGAAAAGCAAGAGAAAACATGGGATCTTGACAAATTTAGTCGTGCGGGGCTTATTTGGCAAATTCCCCTAAAACTATACCACATTCGTAATTCGTAACGAACTTTAACTGTACTCTAATTGAGAGCAATTCATAAGACGCGACGCGACCCCAAAATGCCCCTGACCGTGGCAGTTTGCAGTAACATACTATCTGCTCCCTAAGGCGCCGCGACATGAATTACTCGTTGATCGCGCTCGATGGCCATTATCGGTCCCACCACGAATAGTGACTGCCGGCTTTTAGCCAGAGACCGAGAATCGATCTTGGAACTTTCGTTGCTCTGCAATTGATTGTTTCTCTATTTTCTCGATCTTGTTACCGGTTATGCAGCTTTTCATGTTAGTATAAAATACAGTTATAGTTCGCACAAAGTGTGTA